ATTCTCTTGCCTCCGCCTCCCAAGCAGCTGGGACTACAGGAGCCCGCCACAATGCCCAGCTGTTTTTTGTTGCAGTTGTCATTGTTGTTTAGGTCTGGGCTGCGTTCTAGCCTGCCAGCCCTGGTGTATGTGGCCAGGACCCTTAACCACTGAGCTATGGGCACCAAACCTGTGCTAGCCTTTTTAAAACAGTATTTAAAAGTCCTCCCTAGAACTGTTGTGCGTTGTTAGGTAATCTTTAAAGTGTTCTCCATTTTTAATAATTTGTTATTTTGGCAGATGCTGTTCAAGTCAGAGGAAGAACCATTTCTTTGAATTCCTTCTCACCAGAAGCATTAGAGCTGCCTGTTGATGTAGAAAAGGTGAACACTTTCTTCTCTTTCTTCTTTCTTCTCTCTTCTTCTTCTTCACCACAGGGATTATTAATCCTTTATCAGTGGTTCTCAACCTTCCTAATTGCCACATTGTTACAAATGGAACAGAGGGGTCGCGACTCACAGGTTGAGAACCACTGCTTTAGATAGTGCTGTTCTGGGTTAAACCTGGAAACCTTACCTTAATGCGGGTTAGCAAATAGGTTTCATTTCAGCATGTAATTGGTAGAGGCTGCCAGGAGCACTAACGGTCAGCTGGAATGTTTTCCAGGATCAGTGAATGATGCCTGCCACTGTCACCAACCTAGGTTTCTTATTTTTGAGACAAAGTCTCACGTTCTTGCCCTGGGTAGAGTGCTATGGCATCAGCCTAGCTCACAGCAACCTCAAATTCCTAGGCTTACACATCCTCCTGCTTTAGCCTCTTCAGTGGCTGGGACTTTAGGCACCTGCTACAATGCCCAGTTAATTTTTTTGTTTTTAGTAAAGATAGTGTCTGGCTCTTGCTCAGGCTGGCCTTGAACTCTGGGTTCGAGATCCTCTGCCTCAGCCTCCCAGAGTGCTAGGATTATAAGCATGAGCTACCTTGACCAGCCAAACCTAGAGTTTTATGCAACAAGAAATTCAGCTTGTTTGTTGGTCATAGTGAGTTAAACCTATGTCCCTGGACAAGTGTGGGTTATAAGTCATATAGTGACCTATGGTAACTTAGTTAAATGAACATTATATGTATATGCATCAACTCCACTTAAATAGAACTTCTTGATTTTTCAAGTCTGATACACTTACTGTGAAAAAAATGCTTATCGTGAAAAAAAATGCTGTGCTCAGATTTTAACTGATTTTTTTTCCCTACAGGAAAATGCCCACTTTTATGTTGCAGATATGATTATATCAGAAATGGAGAAAATAAAGTGTAACATCCTGAGTGAACAGCAGGCAGAGGGCTGGAGGCAAGAAGGCGCCAGTGGGTCACTTGGTATTGATCAAGCTGACTCTGAAGTGACCTTTGATACTAACATAAAGCAAGAGTCTGGGTCTGCTACCTCTTCAGACAGTGGCTATGAAGGCAAGTTGGGCAAAAATGAGAAAACTTTTACGTCATACACTTCCTGTCTTCTGTCAAACGCCAAAGTACAATAGTCCCCTCCTTACCCCAGGGGTGTCATATTCCAGGACCTCCAATGGAGGCCTCAGGCATCAGCAGCACTGAACTCCAGATACATTGTGCTTTTTTACTTTGATAACCCATGTGGTCACTGAGTGACTCACGAGTGGGCAGCATTTACAGTATGGACATGCTGGACAAAGGCATGACTCAGGTCCTGGACGGGATGGAGCAAGGCAGCATGAGATTTCATCACATTGCTTAGACAGTATGCAATTAAAAATGTATGAATTATTTATGAAACTTTCTGTTTAATATTTTTAGACCACAATTGACTATAAATAACTGTAGCTGTGGAAAGTGAAACTACAGATAAGGAGGGACTACTGTGTGTCATTCAATCCTTTGTCTAAAACTCCTTGAGTCAACTCTATAATCCTCACCATTTCTGCCCTCTGGGCTTGGGATTGGTAATCACGCCCCATCCAATTGTCAAATTCTATTTTGTTTTGTTTTTTTCTTGGACTTCACCCTGGTTTCTTTTTTTTTGCTAAAAAAAAAAATGGCTATTGGGTTCCTCTTCCTTCATTTCTGTCATTCTCCAAGCTCCTCTTTTTTCTTTTTTTTTTGGCCAGGTCTAGGTTTGAACCTGCCACCTCCAGCATATGTGGCCAGTACTCTGCTCTTTGAGCCACAGGCACCACCCCAAGCTCCTCTTTTTAATCCTGTCCTTTTCCAAGTAGTCCTCTTTCATTCATTCAATGAACATTGATCCCGTGGCGTGCTAGGTGCTGGGAGTCAGCCAGAGCAGGAGATCCGCTCCTTTCCTAAGGGGCAAGCGTGCTGCAGCAGAGGCCAGGGAAGCCCTGCCGGGGAATTTCTGGAACCCAGGCAAGCAGACAGTGCAACGCATTACCAAGCAGGAGCAGCTCACCTCAGTCTAGGATTCCCAGGGGAACCGTGTCACTGGGCCCTGCTCTGGTCGGGTGTTCACGACTGCTCAGTCACCTGTGTCCAGGGGAGC